ATTTATTACGATTTATTACGATTTATCACGATTTATCACGATTTATTACGATTTATTACGATTTAATGCGATTTATTACGATTTATTACGATTTATACGATTTATTACTATTTATTACTATTTATACTATTTATTACGATTTATCGCGATTTATCACGATTTTATTACGATTTATCTACGATTTATTACGATTTTATTACGATTTATTGCGATTTATTACGATTTATCACGATTTATCACGATTTATACGATTTATTACGATTTATTACGATTTATTACGATTTATTACGATTTATACGATTATACGATTTTACTACGATTTATTGCGATTATTACGATTTATCACGATTTATCACGATTTATCACGATTTATTACGATTTATTACGATTTATTACGATTTATTATGATTTATTACGATTTATTACGATGTATTATATTTATACTATTTATTACTATTTTATAAGATTTATCGCGATTTATCACCGATTTATCACGATTTATTACGATTTATTGCGATTTATTACGATTTATCACGATTTATTACGATTTATTAGGATTTATTACGATTTATTACGATTTATCACGATTTATCACGATTTATTACGATTTATACGATTTAATTACGATTTAATTGCGATTTATTACGATTTATTACTATTTATATCACTATTTATTACTATTTATTACGATTTTATCGCGATTTATCACGATTATTACGATTTATCACGATTTATTTACGATTTATTACGATTTATGCGATTTATTACGATTTATACGATTTATTACGATTTATTACGATTTTTACTACGATTTATTGCGATTTATTACGATTTATCACGATTAATCACGATTTATTCGATTTATACGATTTATTACGATTTATTACGATTTATTACGATTTATTACGATTTATCACGATTATCACGATTTATCACGATTTATTACGATTTTATTACGATTTATTACGATTTATTACGATTTGTCACGATTTTATTACGGTTTATTACGATTTATTACGATTTATTACGATTTATTACGATTATTACTATTTATTACGATTTATTACGATTTATTACGATTTATTACGATTATTACGATTTATTACGATTTATTACGATTTATTACGATTTATTACGATTTATTACGATTTATTACGATTTATTACGATTTATTACGATATATTACGAGTTATTACGATTTATTACGATTTATTACGATTTATTACGATTTATTACGATTTATTACGATTTATTACGATTTATTACGATTTATTACGATTTATTACGATTTATTACGATTTATTACGATTTATTACGATTTATTACGATTTATTACGATTTATTACGATTTATTACGATTTATTACGATTTATTACGATTTATTACGATTTATTACGATTTATTACGATTTATTACTATTTATCACTATTTATTACTATTTATTACGGTTTATCGCGATTTATCACGATTTATTACGATTTATCACGATTTATTACGATTTATTGCGATTTATTACGATTTATCACGATTTATCACGACTTATTACGATTTATTACGATTTATCACGATTTATTACGATTTATTGCGATTTATTACGATTTTATCCCGATTTATCACGATTTATTACGATTTATTACGATTTATTACGATTTATTACGATTTATTACGATTTATTACGATTTATTACGATTTATTACGATTTATTACGATTTATTACGATTTATTACGATTTATTACTATTTATTACTATTTATTACGATTTATCGCGATTTATCACGATTTATTACGATTTATCACGATTTATTACGATTTATTGCGATTTATTACGATTTATCACGATTTATCACGATTTATCACGATTTATCACGATTTATTACGATTTATTACGATTTATTACTATTTATTACGATTTATTGCGATTTATTACGATTTATTACGATTTATTACGATTTATTACGCTTTATTACGATTTATCACGATTTATAACGATTTATCACGATTTATTACCATTTATTACGATTTATCCACGATTTATTACGGTTTATTACGATTTATTACGATTTAATACGATTTATTACGATTTATACGATTTATTACGATTTATTACTATTATTACTATTTATTACGATTTATTACGATTTATTACGATTTATTACGATTTTATTACGATTTATTACGATTTTATTACGATTTATTCCGATTTATTACGATATATTACGATTTATTACGATTTATTACGATTTATTACGATTTATTACGATTTATTACGATTTATTACGATTTATTACGATTTATTACGATTTATCACGATTTATTACGATTTATTACGATTTATTACGATTTATTACGATTTATTGCGATTTATTACGATTTATTACGATTTATTACGATTTATTACAATTATTACGATTTATTACGATTTATTACGATTTATTACGATTTATTACTATTTATTACTATTTATTACGATTTATTACGATTTATTACGATTTATTACTATTTTACGATTTATTACGATGATTTATTACGATTTATTACGATTTATTGCGATTTATTACGATTTATCACGATTGTCTCGATTTATTACGATTTATTACGATTATTACGATTTATTACGACTTATTACGATTTATTACGATTTATTACGATTTTATTACGATTTATTACGATTTATTACGATTTATTACGATTTATTACGATTTATTACGATTTATTACGATTTATTACGATTTATTACGATTTATTACGATTTATTACGATTTATTACGATTTTATTACGATTTATTACGATTTATTACGATTTATTACGATTTATTACGATTTATTACGATTTATTACGATTTATTACGATTTATACGATTTATTACGATTTATTGCGATTTATTACGGTTATTACGGTTTATTACGATTTATTACGATTTATTACCATTTATTACGATTTATTACGATTTATTACGATTTATTACGATTTATTACGATTTATTACTATTTATTACTATTTATTACTATTCATACTATTTATAACTATTTATTACGATTTATTACGATTTATTACGATTTATTACTATTTATTACTATTTATTACTATTTATTACTATTTATTACTATTTATTACGATTTATCGCAATTTATCACGATTTATTACGATTTATCACGATTTATTACGATTTATCACGATTTATCACGATTTATTACGATTTATTACTATTTATTACGATTTATTACGATTTATTACGATTTATTACGATTTATTACGATTTATTACGATTCATCACGATTTATCACGATTTATCACGATTTATCACGATTTATTACGATTTATTACGATTTATTACGATTTATCACGATTTATTTCGGTTTATTACGATTTATTACGATTTATTACCATTTATTACGATTTATTACTATTTAGTACGATTTATTACGATTTATTACGATTTATTACGATATATTACGATATATTACGATTTATTACGATTTATTACGATTTATTTCGATTTATTACGATTTATTACGAGATATTACGATTTATTACGATTTATTACGATTTATTACGATTTATTACGATTATTACGATTTATTACGATTTATTACGATTTATTACGATTTATTACGATTTACTACGATTTATACGATTTATTACGATTTATACGATTTATTACGATTATTACGATTTATTACGATTTATTACGATTTATTACTATTTATTACTATTTATTACTATTTATTACTATTTATACTATTTATTACTATTTATTACTATTTATTACGGTTTATCGCGATTTATCACGATTTATCACGATTTATTACGATTTATTGCGATTTATTACGATTTATCACGATTTATCACGATTTATTACGATTTATTACGATTTATTACGATTTATTACGATTTATTGCGACTCATTACGATTTATCACGATTTATCACGATTTATTACGATTTATTACGATTTATTACGGTTTATTACGATTTATACGATTTATTACGATTTATTACGATTTATTACGATTTATTACGATTATTACTATTTATTACTATTTATTACTATTTATTACGATTTATCGCGATTTATTACGATTTATTACGATTTATTGCGATTTATTACGATTTATCACGAGTTATTACGATTTATTACGATTTATCACGATTTATCACGATTTATCACGATTTATTACGATTTATTACGATTTATTACGATTTATCACGATTTATTACGGTTTATTACGATTTATTACGATTTATTACCATTTATTACGATTTATCACGATCTATTACGATTTATTACGATTTATTACGATTTATTACGATTTATTACGATTTATTTGAGATTAAACGACTTACCTAGTAAGAAAGTTCAATCGGAATTATTCGAGGTCCGGTCCACTAGAACACATATTGTAGAATGCGATTCGGTAACGAAGCGGGCCACCTGTGAAAAGTAACATGGATCCCCATCTCCAGACCCTGAGCTATACGAATATCTCATTATGCTTTTTATTTGCTATTCATTTTATTTTTTGGGTATGCGGTACTACGCGTCTAGGATGGGGTGGGATGTGTTCTAGTGGACCGGACCTCGAATAATTCCGATTGAACTTCCTTACTAGGTAAGTCGTTTAATCTCAAATTATTCTTCAGTCCGGTCCACTAGAACACATATTGTAGATGTTTAAAGTACTAAATGAGCTAGCAAATGTCATTGTGTAATAACATAAAGAGGAATTAAGGAATAATAAAATTATTAGATATGCATTGAATATGAAGTATTTTAATACAAATTTTGAGAACAAAAATTTTTCATATATTTCCTTAACTTTTTTTTTTTATATATATATTAATTATGGCAGAACAACTAACAATTAGTTTATATACAATAACAACAACGTAACAAGAAATAGAACATACGATATAGAAACGTCCTTATTCTAAACCTATATGTTATAGACCAACAAACGTAACTAGAGTCTAACACAATATTTTAGTAGGTAGTAATGTAATTAATCCCTGCACGACCTGAGTTGTTTGTTTTCCGTACCAGCTAGTACGCTATTTATGAAAAAACTGCTATCTAACGGCCTGTTATAAAACTTAAAAAACACGTTGGACCGTTCTGACCAGCCTACTGTGGCTCTTATAGTTTCAATGTTAGTACCTGATCTGTAGGCTGCAGAAACAGCTGCATGCCTAGTACTGTATCCAGAGAATGTACCAGTATTTATTCCAGCCAGGCCTAGAATTTTCTTTAACCACCTGGAAAGAGTTTGAGTCGAGGCTGGATGGTACGGTTTTTTAATGGTCAAAAATAACTCCCGTATATTATTTCTTATGTTCTGACTTCTACTTAAATATTCTATCAATGTGCTAGATAGACATAGCTCTGGGGTCTCTCTAAAGAAGGGGAGTCTCGGTCTAGGTTGGATCCTACCGGGGCCTGATGTTTTTAGGATATCCGGTATTAAAATCTCTATGAAGTCAGTTCTTTGATAAATATTATCTATTTTAATTTTTGAAAAAGTTTGTAATCTTTGTGCTGTGCCTAAGGCGAACAGCATAACCAGCTTATAGGTTAGGTCTGCAAAGCTTAGGGAAGAAAAGGGATGTAAAGATGACAAATATGCAATTACGGGATTTGGGTCCCAAGTTGCTTGATATTTTGGGAACACCTTTCAAGTACCTACTAATAACTTTCTCATCAACTTCCTTATTTATAATTAAATTAAGAGATGACCTAAACGTATTCAGTGTTGTATAACTAGCACCCTCCTTAAAACTATTATCTAGAAAATCAACGAAATCTGCTGTTGAGGGATCAAAGCAGTCTACTGCTCTACGGATGCAAAATTCCCACCATTTTTTATAGGCGGTATTGTATTGTTTCAGTGTATTAGGATTTAATGAAGAGATAACTACTTCTAAAGCTGATTCCGTCAGTCTTCTTGGAGCAAGAGCTTCCCTGGTAAAATTCCTGACACCAGGGTAAGCTTTGGCCAAAGCGGATGTGGTTCCCTATTTGGAGATAATAAAAGATTTCTATTAGGAGTTAAATAAACCAATTTTGACTTGAGAATCTTATTGAAAATTGGGTACCAAGGTTGTGCCCTCCACAGAGGGACCACCATTATCGCCTCCCCCTCATCTTTGATAATTTTATTCAACGTTCTCATTATCAAAGAAAAAGGAGGGAATGCATAGAAAAATATATTTGACCAACTTATCGTAAAAGCATCAACAGCTATTGATTTCAGATCTTTTTTCCAGGAAATAAATTGTTTACATTTATTGTTTAGCTGGGATGCGAACAGATCGATGTTAGGAAGGCCAAAAGGCCAATTTTCTTAAAAGCTAAAGAGTTTAACTCGTATTCAGTTTCTGAATTAAGCGACCTTGATTCAAAATCAGCTACCACATTACGAGAGATTCAATATAAGTTGCAAAAATATATATATTTCTGGACTCACACCACTGCCAGATTGCTTTCGACAACTCGGACAATTTCTTATATTTTACACCTCCCATACGATTAATGTAGGATATGGCGGTGGTATTGTCAACTTTTAACAAAATGGAGCAGTCTTTAAGGTCTCTTGCAAAACATCTTAGAGCATTATAGGCTGCTAGCAATTCAAGGTAATTAATATGAAATTTAGATTCCTGTAAACTCCAAAAACCCTGGGTAGATTCTGGACCTGCCGAGGCTCCCCATCCGACATTTGAAGCGTCGGAGTAAATTACCACTTTATAATCCTGAGGCCTAAGCGAGACAAGTGATTTTGGAATTGCTGTCATCCACCAATTTAATTCTCTTTTTATTTTGACTGTTATTATCATTTGCGAGTTATAATTGTTATTCGAATTTTTCAATGCTAGATATTTATATCTTTCTAAGAATTTTGTGTGCATAAGACCGTATTTTATGGCAGGACAAATCGAGATAAGGTATCCTAAAAGTCTTGCAAACTCTCTTATTTTACAACTATTAAACTTAACAAATGTGTCAATTTTCAACAAGGTATCATGTCTTTTGCTAGCTGGCAGTGTCATGCACATGTTTATGCTATCATAAAGAAAACCTAAAAATTTGCAAATATTACTGGGTATTAATTGGCTCTTTTTGTAATATACAACAAAACCCAAGGGTTCTAAGAGTGAAGTGGTTACGGTTATATTCGTCCGACACTGATCTATACTATGCCCTAACAATAATAAATCGTCTAAATAATTAACTGAATAAAAACCTTTGTTTCGTAAGAATAAAATAACTGGTTTTAATAGTTTGGTAAAAATATAAGGGGCAGAGCAGAGGCCGAACGGTAAGCAAGAGAATTCGTACAAAACCTTGTTAAACGTAAATCTTAAATATTTCCTATGTTTTTTGTAAATCGGTATACAGAAATAGGCGTCCTTTAAGTCTAGAGAGGCCATATATACTCTGTTGGTAATTATATTTTTAACAATTTTATAATTTTCCATTTTAAAGTGTTGGATTGTTACATATTTGTTTAATTGTTTTAGATTTATAACAAATCTCTGATTTCCGTCTGGTTTCTGTACTAAAAAATATGAAGATAGAAATTGATTTTTACACGGTTGGCATTAATTGATTGCGCCTATTGCTTCTAATTTATTGATTGTTTCTTTAAGGTTCTTAAATTCTATTTTACTGTAACTTTTGGTTTTTGGCAGGACTAACTGTTTAGGAGTATGAAAAAATGGTAAACGGTAGCCAGTTATACAGCTCAGAATAAATCTGTCATTCGTTATAGATTTCCAAGATTTTTGAAAATACTTTAGTCTACCGGCAAATAAAGCAATATTGTTAACATTTACCTCTACTGAATTTGTCGGTTTCGGTAATTGTATCTGGCTAGGTTCCCTCTCGATGATCTCCATTGATTTCTGTTTCTCTCTTGTATTCGAGGCTCCTTTCTCTTGTTTAGTACAAACTGACTTTTCCGAAAACGTACAGATATTTTGGGGCGCTGCCAGTTTAAATGGCTCCTATTAAAGATTTGGCTGCTTGCAGGAACTTTACTCACCTGCAGATCTACTGCAGATTTATTTATAGTTTGATTAATTTTACATTTCTCCATGAATGTTTTTCCAAAGAGACAATTATCCATTTTAGATTCTTTGGCTAGTTTTTGCATGTCAGATTTTAAAAGAGGATAGACTTGATGTCTGCGATGCATTGATAACTGAAAATGGGCGTTGCACTGAAGTTTTCCTGCTGTCATTAGATCAGGTATTATTTCTTTTACAACATTACTGAGGTCTGCTATATCTAACAGTTTGCTTATCACTGATGATAAAGCACTTAAGCTTCCAGCTATGTCATTTTGAATATGACACATAAACGAATCTTATTTCTGATCGGTAGGCGAAAGAAGTGCTAAAATCTCTGGATTTAAGGTAGGTGAGTTGAAAGAGAGGCAGTTTTCAGGTGTTGGCCACGCGAGTCTTATTTTTTCTTTTTCATCGCTAGACATCCCATTGGTTGCGTAATAATTTAGCCTAGAGGCCACCTGATCACTCACTGGCTTGCCCATAACCTTAGGCATGGATGGATCAGTTCCCAGTATTTTATTTATACTATCTATTTTATCAGAGGGTATTGGAGAAAGTTCTGCTTCTCTGTGAACATCGACCTCTACGATATTACCCTGATTAACATCGCTGTGAACCGAATCTGATGAGGAAACACTTATGCGGCGAATTCTCTTTCTACGGGGTTCTATATCCTGGTCACTCCCACCTAAGAAACAAGAATGCCAGTTTTTCATTTTTAATTCAATATGTCTAAATAGCGAGAAAGGCTATTCAAACTCTGCTTGCAGTTTCTTTTTATATTTCTGTGGACTTTTTTCTAAAAGCTCTAATATAGCATACTTTTGTTTATAGATCATGTCACCATTAACACTAGGGCATGCAATTATCGAACTCTTCCGATAATCTTAATCGTATCAACCAATTGTAGCGAACTGACAAGGAACCTTTTTCGTCTCTTGTTTTTATTAACTAGGCTAGGAAAACTATTTGAACATTATGTGCACTTTATTGTGATCAAACAGTTTTTGCGCACAATAGACAATGAAAGTTTGCAAATAGGAAGCGCGCAGTATACGTATGATTGTCTATAAATTTATGGACATTATTTTGATAAAATTTGAGAACAATAATCCGGATAGTTGCAGATAATTGTGCTAAACACGTATTTCAGATGTTTATATTATTAACTTAAAATAATGAAACACCCAAAACTTTGTGTTTGATAATATACGCATGTCTTCAATACGCGGCCGAAAGTACGGGGTTCTATATCCTGGTCACTCCCACCTAAGAAACAAGAATGCCAGTTTTTCATTTTTAATTCAATATGTCTAAATAGCGAGAAAGGCTATTCAAACTCTGCTTAGTAATTTTGCAAAGACAGCAAATTACCTCGACTCATAATGGTATGTGGGATATTTACTAAAAGCAGTAACTTACAAAAAACAGCGAGCAAGGCTGTTTTTTAGTTATACATATACATATGTATGGCGAGTAAAGCCATTTTAGATAATAACATATTTTTTATCATGATGAATCAAACGGCGAGTAAGGCCGTTTTGTACGAGAAATTAACCTTCAAGGAGTAGAATGCTAAATTTCGCCTACAAATCATTTAAAAACAAATTCTTCATGTCGGTAGATGACGCCTAAGGCCATTTTCACCATAACCGCGTTTCCCTGATACACAAAACAATAATAAACATCGTACTTACTTGTAGAGATTTCCTCTAATTTCTTCAACTTTTCTTTAATTATAATCACACGTTTCCTATTTGACGACATTGTGAACACGCAAAAAAAGGTAAACAAGAGGCGACCACACTCCTTCGCACCAAAAAGCATAATGAGATATTCGTATAGCTCAGGGTCTGGAGATGGGGATCCATGTTACTTTTCACAGGTGGCCCGCTTCGTTACCGAATCGCATTCTACAATATGTGTTCTAGTGGACCGGACTGAAGAATAATTACGATTTATTACGATTTATTACGATTTATTACGATTTATTACGATTTATTACTATTTATTACGATTTATTACGATTTATTACTTGAACTCATGATATAATATATCAAACTGGAACGTCATTTACACGGATGGTTCTAAGACGGAGAATGGCTGTGGATGTGCTCTTGTCCATAATAATATCTGCCACTCATGGACACTGCCAACATGTGCCTCTGTATTTAGTGCTGAATTATACTCAATTTGGCATGCCATCCTATACACTGAAATTCGGGGTATCAACAAGACGATCATATGCACTGACTCACTTAGCTCAACACAAGCACTACAACAACTTTATCCAAAAGATCCATTGATAAAGATAATACAGGCAAAAATTGGGCATTTGCGATCACAGGCTATTGAGCTTATGTTTATATGGGTCCCTAGTCATACCGGAATTAATGGTAACGAGTTAGCTGACAACGCTGCAAAGCATCAACTACGCAACCCCCGGACGTAAATGTACTGCTACGCCCTGGCGACCTAAAAGCCACGTTCAAACATCAAATAGTATCAAAATGGCAATCTCAATGGGACTCTACCACCGCTAAGCTCAAAGAATTGAAGCCAAAAATTGGAAAAACCATTTACACTAACCAAATTACTCGGAGAGAGCAAAGCGTTCACACAAGACTACGAATAGGGCATTCGCGTCTGACATCGGCTCACCTACTCACTGGTGAACCTCCACCAATCTGTTTTGCCTGTGATTTACCATTAAACATCGAGCATATTATAATTGACTGTCCCTTGTATGAAGCTGACAGATGGTCACATAAAATTTCACGCAACCTAAACGAAGCCTTAAGTATGGAGCCAGAGCAAGTAAGAACGATCTTACAATGGCTACGAAACATTGGACTGTTCAACAAAATCTAACTAATGTAAGAAAGAGAGAAAAAAAAATAAATAAAAAATATATATAGTTCAACAAAGCATAATTAAATTAAAATTAAAAAATAAAAAAAAAAAAAACTGCAACGGCAAATTATATTCTTTTTTTGAGACCTAATTGATCAATTTTAAATATTATAACATTGGCTTACCCAACCTACGTATCTTTTCCTATGTGCCCAAATACGTACCAGCCCGCGGACTATCCTGTGTATTGTGTGTTTACAAAAGTCGCCCTGATCGTCCCCCGAGGCGTGAAGTGAGTGTCCCTGTACAGATATATCCTTACCCATGCCCTAAATTGGGAAGGAGGGTGCGGCCAATGACCGTTTGCAGTCGACGCCGCTGTGGGAAAAAAAAAAAATATAATAATAATAA